CGCGTGCGTGCGCGCGTGCGTGCGCGTGTGCGCGCGCGTGTGTGTGTGCGCGTGTGCGTGTGTGTGAGGAACATGTACGGAGATTTTCAACCTCCTTTCCCCCCGCCTCCCTCGGAGGGTTGAAGTGGATGTTTTCAAAATTAAATGATAAATTACATTTTGTCATTGTAACTCTATAAATTTCAATCCAATATCTTGATATGTATATGTATTTATATGTAAAATTTTTATTAATATTTTAATAAATAATGAGCGACAGCTAAAATCTTTCGATTGTTAGAAAGATGATCTCTTCTTTAGCATATGTTAAGGTCATAAGTCTCATAAACAGGTGTTTCACCTAATTTTTAACTATGAGAAAAATTTTGCTGTCTTTCCAGACGAGCAGTGCCAATTGTATGGCGATCGGCGATAAATATATTTTTATTGGCTGTGCTGAAGGTATTGTAAGATGTTTTAGTCCTAGCACACTTCAATTTATTACTACGCTACCGAGGACACATTACTTGGGAGTTGATGTTGCACAAGGATTATCCATCAGGTTTTATTTTATATAACAATGTATCTTGTTCAATTTTCCGTTACGATAACTCAGAAATATCCTCTTTTTTCAGCCATATGTCGCAACATCCTCCTAATGCGAGGTATCCGGACGCAATTGCATTGGCATTTGACGAGCGAAATAACAAGCTGACTTGCGTATACAACGATCATAGTATCTATGTTTGGGATGTGAGAGATATCAAACGGGTTGGCAAATCACATTCGTTCCTATACCATTCAGCCTGCATCTGGGGCGTTGAGATGTATCCGACTGATCCAGATTCCGTCGGTGCGATGCCGCCTGGAAGTTTCATTACTTGTTCCAGTGACGACACAATAAGAGTCTGGAATTTGGAAAAGGACAATTTGCCGAATGATACCTTGTACAAACGGAACATTTACAGCAACGTCAGTACATAGGCGCGCGCACACGCACGTCAGCCTTATCCATCTTTGTAAAATCTAAATGCGGACATATAAAATCGATATTTTATTTCGCAATGTTCTTTTATTTTTTTTTTTTTTACCAACAGGAATTGCTCAAGGTGTTGTACGTGGATCCAGAGTTGATTTATCTGAAGGATCTGGACTTGGCCACTGCAGGATCTACCGAAAAGAGCGATGCTTCTTACGATGGTCGTAACGGTGTCAGATCGATAAGGGTTGCACCTGACGGCAAACACCTCGCTTCTGGCGATAGGTATGAGAAGAAATATTCAATTGATTGGAAAAGATAGAAGGATGAGGGATACACAATATATTTGCATGTTATTTCCACAGATCTGGCAACATCAGAATTCACGATGTTTCTTCGCTGGAAGAACTATGTTTGATAGAGGCACATGATGCCGAAGTGCTATGTTTAGAATATTCTAGATTTTCGCGACATTCGCTAGAAACTCCTAGGTTATTGGCAAGCGCGTCTCGCGATAGATTGATTCACATTTTTAGCGTTGATCAGGGATATAATTTCCTGCAGACGCTCGACGATCATAGTTCTTCTATTACTGCGGTCAGGTTTTTCAATCAATTGAATCAGAGTAATCAAATACAGATGGTTTCCTGCGGCGCAGATAAGAGTATTATTTTTAGGCAATTGCAATCGGTGAGTATCTTGCTCGATAATCGATAACGTTATTCAACAAAGAAATTCAAAAATACGAAGATAATCATTTTTCGTAGCTTTTTAGGCGCTGAATACAATCTTACTTATCAAATGCTTTATCACATATCACAATTTTGAGAAATTTTCGATCAAGATTGCGAAGAAGGGCTATTTTTATGTATTTTAGCATTGTGTTTTTTATATGATATAATGTAACGATATATGACGTACTGTGTGCTGTGTGGAGTTTTATTGCAATCAAAATTAAATATGTTATTAAGATTTTCAACCTTCAAAAGGAATTTATTGTGTTGATTATGTTGATTATGGTCAAAAAAATATTTGTAAATAATATAGTGTGTCAATTGTAAATAATCTATTGTGTCAAAGTTGTGTGTAAAATTATGATTATATGTGCCATTAAGAATATACTAAATATTTTTTAATTTTATTACTTAAACTTAAGGATTTGTCAAGTTACTGAAAAATATAACTTGGCCGGAATACTAACTTAAACTGCTAAACTTATGTAAAAGTTGATAATAATTTATAATCAGTATGACCTAGATGTCAATATTTAAAATATAGATCAAATTTTTTGAACTTATGTATAAGGTTTTTTATTTAAATTGAATTTGATATTAAATTCGATGGTCTCAAAACTCTTTAAATTTAAAAAACAATTAAAAAAATATTTGGTAGATTCTTAATGTCTATATGTATATACACAAAATGTTGCATCTATGATGAAATAAATACTATTTCAAAAATTTTTTTAATCATAATTGATACAATAAATTCTTTTTAAGGAATGAAAATATTCCAGCAACATACTTAATTTTGATTGCAATAAAACTTTTTCAGCACGTCACACGGTTATAATATCGTAGTATAATATGCCAAAATATTTTTAAATAACCCTTTTTGCAACTTTAATTACAAATTAAAATTGTGATGTGATAGAACAATTTGACGGAATTATATTTAGCACCCAACTATGAAAAACAATTATTCTTGTCGTGTTTGAAGAAAAAATATTTTTTGTTGAACAGTATAATTAATTTGAGATCGGTATTTATCATGATGTTAGAATTCTCTCTTATGTTTTTAGACACCAGGTGGAATGCCGCAATTTGCTAGAGGCCGCAATGCTCAGGGAAAAACTACTCTATATGACATGGAAGTCGATTCCGGACAAAAGCATGTGTTAACCGCCTGTCAAGATAGAAATATTCGAGTTTACAATGTTACTACGGGTAAACACAGCAAGACTTTTAAAGGTTCCGTTAGTGACGATGGCTCGCTGATAAAAGTTGTCCTAGGTAAGATAAATAATTTATAACTCATATATCATACATCGCTGCTCTTACAATACTGACAAATTTTATGGCAATATCTAGATATTTTAGCGACTCATATAAAAAGTTTTCCAAATTATTATTACAGGGTGAGCTTTAACGACCAAAAAGAAAGTGATTCTACGATTAAAAATAAATTAAAATGATGGGGTAGAATTTTTTTAATAAGGCTTTATTTTGAAAAAAGGCTTTGAAAATTAATCTGTAGTACGCGAAAAATTACCTTTTATTACTTATATTTGAAGAATTAGAAAGATAGAATATATTAGAAACAATCCATTCTACTTTAATGCATAGAGTACAACTTTGCATAACGACATTAAATAGCTAATATTTGCAACAATATTTCAATTAAGTAAGAAATAAAATTATTCTTTCTTTCACACAAATTCACTTGTCTCTTTCAAGGGTCCATTCTACTTTGCGGCCCGAAAAAGAAGGCGATCTTTGAGAATTTTTTCGGGAAAAGTGATCAAGATCACATTCTTTATTGTTTTTACAACTTATTTGTTGTACTTTTCTCTTTAATTTGTAATTTTTTGAAGTCAATTTGTTGACTGTAAGTATATGCTATGCAAAATTCCGGTGAAGAAGCCTTTTCGATTTGAACATGGTGCCATGAGGGAAATACTGCAGATCGCACCAGTCATCTAAAACAGTTAAATCAACGATTTTTCTGTTCAAAAAGAATGTCTCTATGGAATAGACTACGATAATTGATCTTGCATGAAAATTAACAAAATGACGGCTATTTGAAAAAAAATTCGATTTTTTGCCTTAAATTTTGCTTTTATTTTTGCGATAAAAAAAGTATTATTGATATTGATATAATCATAATCTATTCTATAGAAACATTCTTTTTGAATATGAAAATCGTTGGTTTAACTGTTTTTCAGATAAGTCCCGAAACACAATAGATGTAGTAAGCCTTAAGGCGTAAGAAATTGACCAATCATAATCTATTATTCTCTTCAAATTCAACTGCAATTGGCCATTTTTTAC